CTTGCACAACCCCGTCTCGAGTTGGAACCCCAAATTATTCTTCTGACAATCAGAAATAAAATTCAGCCAGCCAGCATAATGTTCCAGTCACCTTCTTGTTTAGTGAAACAGAGGGCCTTTTCTATTGCTCTTGTTTTCTGCTTTCATCCTGCACATTTGATCAGAACTGAAATGTCTCCAATGCTAGCTACCTTTTAAAAAAAATATGACTGAAAACTGTATTTCAAAGGTTTAGAAATCAAGTTGCAAAAAAAAATCTACATGTGAACTCTGCTGCTGCCACGTAGCATGAACACATGGAGCTGAACCAAATATAAAATCTGTTACAGGTGGAAACAGTGTTCTGATGTTCCGAATGAAATAGCCTGCCCCTTTATGTTGTGGTCCACCAGCAGCCTGCGGAGCTGGCAGCGGAGTCGGACAGTGAGGAGGTTGGGGAGGATCATGGGCCAGTCCTGAAGTCTGGGGAAGGCCCAGATGAGGGCTCTGCGTCAGAGGCAGAGATGGGGCCAGGGCCATCTAGGAGTGATGTGCAGACTCCGGAGCCTTCAGAGTCGGACAGCAGAGAGGCAGAGGAACAGGACGAGCCTGTTCCTAGTACACGCATGCACAGAGCTGCCAGAAGGCAAGAGCAGCTAAAGCAAAAGGGACAACTCGGGAGGAAGGCCAGGAGATGATTGGCCCCTCCCATAAGGCTTAAAAGAGCAGCAAAGGCTCTTGGGCTCTTTGTAGGAAAGTAACATTGCTAAATCTGTTTCCAGTCTGCTTCTCTTGTTTCTGAACTTTGTGGGGCTTTGCCAAGAAAGGCCTTTGGCAGGGTGCCAAAGAAGATAAAGATTTGTGATAGGCCCGAAGAACTTCTTCTGAAAGACTTGCTTTGCAATTAATTTGCGCTACGCTGGGAGTGAAGTAATTCTCAGCTGTTACAATAAAATAGGTTTGTTTGGGACTAATTGTGTCTTGTAATGACTAAGTGAGCCTAGGTCACAACACCTTAGCTGAATCCAAATATGGGTATTTTTACTCTCAACGAGCTGTTTCCTGCTTTCAAGAGAGAATACGTTTTTAGGATTGTCCAATGACGGTTGAAAATAAGGAAGATGCAGATTTTTAGATACATTGATAATATGGAATAAAATGGGAGGGTGGGTTGATAGTGCTTTAGTCAGTAGAATCACATGTAGTTTGTCACTTTTCAGCGTATGTACACTCAGGTACAGTTCTGAAATTACTACTGTGTCATGTTTGAAGTCAGTTGTTGACAGTGATTTCTTAAATGAACATGGCAATATTTAAAACTTCCCATATTGCCTTGGTTAAGATGTGCCAATCACAATTAATCACAGAAGGTTAGTTATTCTAAAATAAATAACACCCCCCCCATACTTCTTCTGCAGAATGGAAAGCAGGTGAGGAATGAACACAGAAGTTAGATTTAGCTTTCTAGCCAGTCAATCTGTCACTGGGAATTACCATATTTCCCCCTCATCCTAATTCTGAATTCACTGAGAGTAGTAAACAATTGGGCTTCTGCTCATGCAGTTTTTGCTAGATTCAAATTGAATATGAAATGCAGGCTGACATTATAAATGGATCTCCTGAGCTGCCCTACTTGAATTCAAGGCCCTTTGTGCCTTAATTATTCAAGCATTCTGTACACTCATATATTTCAATGTGAACGCCATTAAATTATTGTTCTTTTCTTTCCACCCAAATGAAAGCTTGTCTTCCTTTCAGCTGTTTGAAGGAGATACATCTCCCTTAATTCTGCTCGGCTCAAAAGGACTGTGATAGAATATATATTAAAAATGAGATGCAATTTTCTTTGGTAAATATGAGGTTGTGTTCAGCAATTATGGAAAACATTAGAACCATTACCCTTACAGAAACTACAGAAGATATCTTCCAAAACAGTGAAGTTTCTAATTTTTGTACATTTAAAAGGCCTGTTCAGATTTTGAGACAGCTTTGTGTGTGTGGTTTTTTTTGTTTAGAATAGAATAACAGGGTTGGAAGGGACCTTGGAGGTCTTCTAGTCCAACCCCCTGTTTAGGCAGAAAACCCTATACCACTTCAGACAAATGGTTGTCCAATCTCTTCTTAAAAACTTCCAGTGTTGGAGCATTCACAACGTCTGGAGGCAAGTTGTTCCACTGATTAATTGTTCTTAACTGTTAGGAAAGTTCTCCTTAGTTCTAGATTGCTTCTCTCCTTGATTAGTTTCCATCCATTGCTTCTTGTCATTACCCTCAGGTGCTTTGGAGAATAGTTTGATTCCCTCTTTTTTGTGGCAGCTCCTGAGATATTGGAACACTGCTATCATGTCTCCCCTAGTCCTTCTTTTCATTAAACTAGACATACCCAGTTCCTGCAACCATTCTTCATATGTTTTAGCCTCCAGTCCCCTAATCATCTTTGTTGCTCTTCTCTGCACTCTTTCTAGAGTCTGTTTGTTTGTTTGTTTCTTTTAATAGAGAAGGCAAATTGTCAAGCTACCTTCAATGGAAGTATCTTTGATGCACACACAGACAGGAACCACTCCTTTCCACTCGACCAATGTGGGTGGTTGCAGCACTTAATAGAGACTCTTCACCAAAATGAATCCTCAGTTCAAAGTTATATATAGCTATATAAGACACAACACATATTTCTTTCTTTGAGCACTGCCATTGCCTGCTTATTATTCTGCCATATTCCTTCTGGTGGCTCAGTTGAACAAACGTGCAGAATAGGAGCAGAAGGTAACTAATGTAACTAAATAATGCCAGTTGAATTGTGTGATTGGAATGGTCTATACCTGTTCACTCAGTCGGTATAAGGGCTATTTATGATGCACTACAAAAGGCAACTCAGTGAGAAGAAAGAGCCATCTCAAGCAAGTGATAAATGAGAATCTCCGTTGCATAGAAACCAGTTCAGGAGATTTTGACCGACCTATACAGTAGATGGATCCCTTCTCTGTTATTTATTGACCTATCTATTCGAAGAGATGGCTTTTCAAAGAGCAAATGTTGATATTCTAGTTTTATTTCCAGAAGAGAACTGAGTATACTGGCTATTATCTTCCAATTTTCTTATAATTTGGAGATAATTACTGCAATATTAGGAGAGTGGAAAGCAGAGCCATTATCTACATTTTATTTTTAATGATTAACGATAAGCTACCATCTTTCTGTGGACTTGTAATGCTTGACATTTTACCTGAATTAATGCCTCTCTATCGGTGATGAAACTGAAACAAACAATGACATTGCTTGATTAGAAAGCATAAGAGGTCTTTGGCATAAAATGCTTGCATTGATTATAAAAAGGAAAAGTTGAAGTTCTTATTCTACTTTTTTTTTTTTTTTTTTACTAATTTTCAGAGCTCAACCTTACATGGTGTTCAGTGGGAGGAAGGAAGGAAGGAAAGAAGGAAGGAAGGAGGGAGGGAGGGAGGGAGGAAGGAAGGAAGGAAAGAAAGAAAGAAAGAAGGAAGGAAATTTGTTATTAAATGCAAGCCAAAATTTTAAAAAAAGAGAATAGAGGGCATAGGCTGGAGAGAACAGAGAAATGAGGTGAGGAGAAGACTTAGTGGGTCTCAGAGAAGTAGAGTAGAAACAAGACAAGTCAGTAGAGGATAGATGCATGTCAAGTAAGAACCACAAGCTCTACTATGGCTTAGGCCAAAGAGGTTGGTTTCTAACTGTGTCTAAGCAAAGAGTGCCCTTCATGCTATGAATAATGTATTAACAGATCCCACAAATCGGCTTTGAAAAGAGAACAGAAAAACTCCACTGAACAGAAAAACTCCACTTTCATGTACTGAATTGTACAAAACTATGGCCTGAAAAAGCTTTATCTTAAAGACATGAATTGGATGGGAAATTTTTCCATGAATTTACGATCACAGGAAAGTTGACAATACGTACTTTTAATTACGTTTTACCAGTCCATGGGAGAATAGAGTCTCAGGTAACTTTCATTCTTCTTCTATATGTTCAAACTAACAAGACAATAGATCCTGATGAAATAACTATACTAAATTTCTGGTTACGGAAAGGAAAAAGAAGAGGGACGTTTGATGGCGGTGTTGGTACATGTTAAAAATTAGGAAGAAAAATGTTAAGATATTGTAGTATATATTTCACATTCATTTCAAGGGATTCATAACTGAGGAAATTATGGAGATCAAAAGTTTGTATAGGGGAAGCGGTGACCTACCCACAGAAATAATGGAGAATATAACTTAGATTTTGCTCTTATTCTTCAACAACTCATTGTTTACATACCATGCCTACCTGAGCTCAAAATTTCTGTTGTTAAGTAAGATATTTATTAAGTGAGTTTTGCTCCATTTTATGACTTTTTTTGCTCCAATTGTTAAGTGAATCACTGCAGCTATTAAGTTAGCAACATGGTTCTGTAGTGAATCTAGTTTCCACGTTGCCTTTGTTCGTCAGAAGGTTGCAAAAAGGTTGCAAAACAGCTGCAGGACACTGCAACGGTCATAAACATGGGTCAGTTGCCAAGGGTCAGAATTTTGATTGCATGTCCATGGTGATGAGGCAATGGTGTAAAAATTAGTCACGTAACTTTTTTTCAGTGCCATTCAGGGGTGCTATTCAGCAGGTTCTGACAGGTTCTGGAGAACTGGTAGCAGATATTTTGAGTAGTTCGGAGAACTGGCAAATACCACCTCTGGCTAGCCCCAGAGTGGGGTGGGAATGGAAATTTTGCAATATCCTTTCCCCAGGAATGGGGATTTTGCAGTATCCTTCTCCTGGAGTGAGGTGGGAATGGAGATTTTGCAGTATCCTTCCACTGCCATGCCCATCAAACCACGCCCACCAAGCCACACCATGCGCCACCAAGCCACGCCCACAGAACCGGTAGTAAAAGAATTTGAATTGCACCACTGGTGCCATTGTAACTTCGAATGGTCACTAAACGAACTGTTGTAAGTCGATGACTACTTGAATTCCACCAACCGCGTCATGAGATTCATATACGTTTCTTACCTTGCTGCACGAAGGATCCGTACACAAACCACATGGAGTTGTAGAGGGTTGTGGAGGTCATCGATCCCATCTGAAGACGTGGAGGATTAAGCCAGTTGAGAAGATATACCAAGAGTCCGACGAGCAGCACTGTGCCAGCGATGCAAGCCCAGAGGGAGAGGTCAAACGGTGCCAGACAGGCAAACATATCCATGGTCTTTTCAGCCTTTTGCAGCAAGACTCCCACCGAGTAGTCCATGTAGCGAGTTGTAAAATCGACCACGTTTTCCCGGTCTGGTGTAATCGTTAATGCAGAAATGCCTATATCAGCTCTCTAAAGGAAAAGAGACAGAAAATTCATTTCCCTTGGCAAGAGAAAAACAGCATCACTTCTGTCTGATTTACAGCCTCTGAAACCTCTCTTGGAAAAAACAGTTGCCAAGTTTCGCTTACCTTGCAGTTTGCGTGTAACAACCCGGGGAGCAAGTAGGAAGAAAACAGACACAAAGTTGACTATAAACGACCAGATGAATTCATGGAGGACACGTTTAAAGAATTTTTAATTGATTCAGATGAAGAACATACTTCAAATAAAGACAGCTTCTAGAAGAATTTAATTATTTTTATTTTTAAATTATTTTTAATAATTAAACATTTATGAATTTTTGATTTTTTAATTGACACCAAACTATATAACTTAAAAAAAAAATTGAAAAGTTCCTTTCAATAGTATGTTGATTAAGACTTTTGCCCAGCAAAGATTTTTAATGGACTTCTCTGTATTATTACATTTGCATAATACCAATGTCTCTATTTATATTATCGTTATAGTGGAACAATGTGGAAAACCCTACAGTTTGATAAATAAAACTTCTTCTTAGACTGTAAAAATAACTTTTGCTCATTGCTGCTGCTATTGTTGTTTTCGTTTCTTATTCTATTAGCAATTGCCAGTTCCAAAAGACACAACCTAATCTAAACAGGCCAGCAGTGCTTTGGATTCAATAACAAGAGATTTCTTGAAGGGCACTCATACTGATCCGTCTTCAGCTTCTGAAACCAAACGCCTCATTGCAAAGCAGCAAGTAGCTGTATAATCTTGAAAAAAGATGCACACACTTTTTTTTTTTTTTTTTTTGCCTTTGAATCAAAACATATAAAGAACGGTTGCAGGAACTGGGTATGTCTAGTCTGATGAAAAGGAGTAGAGGTGACATGATAGCAGTGTTCCAATATCTCAGGGGCTGCCACAAAGAAGAGGGAGTCAAGTTATTCTCCAAAGCACCTGAGGGTAGGACAAGAAGTAATGGATGGAAACTAATCAAGGAGAGAAGCAGATGTGGTATTCAGATGGTTCGGACCAGTTCAGGCGAACCAGTAATGGCAATTTGAATTGGTTCGCTGAACTGGTAAATATTGCCTCTGGTTGGCCCCTCCCACACCTGCCTGGTCGTCCGCTCGCCGCTTGCCCCACCTACCCCTACCCTATATAGGTTGCCTTAGCCACACGGCCCAGCTAATTGCCTCGCCAGTCGCCTATCCACCTCACCTGCTCTGCTCAGCTCACCAAAGGTAAACATGCTCACCCTTCATGTTTTTCTGAAATGTATAGGCTTTCCTGCCTAAGCAGGGGGTTGGACTTGAAGACCTCCAAGCAGTGGTGGGATTCAGTCAGTTCGCACCACTTCAGGAGAACCAGTTGTTAACTTTCTGAACAGTTTGGTGAACTGGTTATTGGAAGAAATCATTATTAGCAGAGAACCGGTTGTTAAATTATTTGAATCCCACCACTTAAATTATTTGAATCCCACCAGTTGGAAGGTCCCTTCCAACTCTGTTATTGTTCTGCCCCAGCTCCGGATTCCCAAGGATTGTGACACACACCAACGGTCCTTATCAAAGTTATAATGTACCAAGAATAAACAAAGTCCAGCAAAGGTTGGCAACCAGCCCAGAAAACAAGATACGATAAGACACTCACTCTCCAAAATGCTCTGTAATAATTGTTGTTTCCAGTAAGAAATTACTAACTGCATGCGACTTAAATAGGCTAAGGGAGTGGCCAATTATCCAATTATAACTTTATTCTTGAGGAGACCTCCTCCTCCTGAGTAGCCACTCCTGCCTTTTGGCAGTCCGGCGTGCTCGAGCATTGAGGAGAGGCTCCTCCACTTTACTCTCTCCACTTGAAGGAGCCTCTGGAGGTTCTGAAGGCCCTGGCTGAGTCTCTGCCTCTGGCACCACATCCTCTTCAGCCTCCTCGCTGTCCGACGTGAGCACCGGCTGCGCAGGCTGCTGGCGTGACCTCACATCAGCCTCCTCGTCGTCGGGATCAGCCACGATCCGCGCAGGCCGCTGGTGGGCCACAACAGTTATTTTAAATGTAATCCAAAGCATTGTATAGTCCTAATCAGTTCCCAAATAACTGATCTTTGTGAATGGTTACTTGCATAGACAATTGGAGAAATTCTCTGAAGCCACTTGCTAAGCCTTCTAGAAGACATAGCTGTTTTAATGCTTCAGGGAGAAGTGATTTTTGCATGCAATTATGCCTGTTTCCTTTAGTATGCTTTGCACAAGTGAGGGTCACAAAGTTGGTAACAGCTATTCCAAGATAGAAAATGACTTTGCTTTACATCTCTAGGAAGCGAAATTAAAGCCATGGGTGGGACTTTGAGAAGAAGATATGTCCTCTTCCAGAAGCCTTTGCATTGCTGTTGCAATTTTCTTCGATGCGTTCAAGGCTGGAGTTGATGCACTCTCATGAGGGGACACAGTGGTTCAGTGGCTAAGACATTGAGCTTGTTGATCAGAAGGTCGGCAGTTCAGCGGTTCGAATCCCTAGTGCCATGTAATGGAGTGAGATCCCGTTACTTGTCCCAGGCTCTGCCAACCTAGCAGTTTGAAAGCATGTAAAAGATGCAAGTAGAAAAATAGAGACCACCTTTGATGGGAAGGTAACAGCGTTCTGTGCGCCTTTGGCATTTAGTCATGCCGACCACATGACCACGGAGACGTCTTTGGACAGTGCTGGCTCTTCGGCCTTGAAACAGAGATGAACACTTCCCCCTAGAGCCAGAAATGACTAGCACGCATGTGTGGGGGAACTTTTACCTTTACCATGAGGGGAAAGCAAGATAGATATTGGCATGCATCTGTATGTATAAAAGGGACAAGGGAAGGGGAAGAATGACTCTAGGTTTATAGCTGCAATCAGAGAAAATTAGTGCTTTCCTTTATGTGTGGCAGACCATACAGAAAAATAAAAGTTCAAGTTTTGAGATATATAGGCTAGAGAAGCAGAAAAGTTTTTGCTTAAGACCTTATCATTTGGATAGCGAAGTGTGCTTGGTTCTATTCAGCCCTTGGGCTGAAAAATCCCCTTATAATAAATTTGAGTTGTGGCATTAGATAATGTGAAAGGCCTAAACAGCAAACGAAGCCTGATGAAAGCTTTAGTTCAAATGTCTCAAGGTATTCCTTGACCTGTTTGTGAAACTGCTGAATGTCATGGTATACAAATGTAAGACAGTCAGGATGGAGTTATCAAGGGTTCGGAGGGCCGTATTTCTCTCTGTATAATTCAGCATGTGCCTTAATCATTTTGTCTCTGATAGGTTCACATATGACTTATAGGGAAATGCAACACTTGAAAGCAGTGGCAATTGTGGCCGGGAAAGCCTTTCCATCTAGTGCAGGAGTGTCAAACTCGATTTCATTGAGAGACGCATCATAATTATGTTTGACCTCGGGGGACCGGGGTGGGCGTGGTCCCGATAGGAGTAGCCAGCTTGACGTCATTCCTGTCGAGGGCGCTTGTGATGGCCTGAGTGCTCTGCCAATGAAAACAGGCTCGCAAGCTCCATTTTTGGCTGCGACAGCCTCCTGCAACCCTCTGTCACTGGCCCTCTCAAGCTCCATTTTTGCTGGCAGAGGTATCACGGGCCAGTCCTTCACTGTTTCCAGGGTATCCCCACAAGCCAGTTCTAAGCACCCCACGGGTCGGATCTGGATCTGGGCCTTGAGTTTGACACCCCTGATCTAGTGTATACTTCTGCACATTCAGAGAGCAGGAGCCCTTCTTGGCTAAGTGCTTAAGAATGGACAACTGTAATATGTGTTACGTAAAGCTGCCATGGAGTAATATTTTTCATAGCTTTTGAAAAAAATTGTTCTTTTAAAATGTAAGGGAAATTGTGACAGTTACAGAATTTTAACCAGATTAGTTGCTTAGACTCAACAATTATTCTTCCATGCATGTGTTGATTTACATAGTTTATACCCTAATATAGCACAATCTTGGTATAATAAAATAGATTTTAGAATATTACAAAATATGATACCCAAGCTAGTACAGAAACTCCAGTGGTAAATGTCATAAAAGCATATATAGTCTCAACCCTAACGTGAACTATTTAAGTTCTAATTGGGGTCATGAGTCAGACTATATTATGTAAATACAGTGGAAGACTCTGCTTAAACACCCAACTGCATCCTTGAATAGAAGACTATACATCGTACTTTTGATCTTCCAAAAGACATCCTGATATAAGTATTTTGAAAACTAACACATACACACCACACAAAAAATCCCTAAACAAAAGCAGGAGGATAGAGATGATTTGATGTTACAAGAGATTCTGATCCTAATTACAATTCTGTCTTTTAAACTGGTGACAGTGATAACATATATTCAGTGTTAAAATCAGAATTTTAATTCAATTGCCTTATTCTGGAATATGTCCTTGCAATCTGAAAATACAAAAAATTAAATAAAAGATAACAATACTTCTTTTTCTACTTTCCTACTTTGTAGGAAAACATATTGATTTATGGTTTTGGAAATCATTTTCTGTGCTTTTAAGTCAAAATTGGATTGAAAACCTTTTAGATCTCTCCATTATAGAATTAATAACAGAGGAGACATAGATCAGGGGGGGAAATCAATTTATAATTGTTTTCTATTTTAATGTAATTTTTTTGCTAGTCTCTTATTCATGCATAGAAATCAGATTTAATTTTTCTGTTTAATTGATGTTTTCATGTTATGGTAAAAGTTAAACAAACAAGAAAAAAAACAAGTATGGTACAAAGAAAACCAGAATGAGTAAAGGAATTAAGATGGGAGGTAAGAGATTGCCTTTATTTTTTTATTCAGTAGAAAATTTAAAAAATATATTTTTGCTTATGACAGCACAATTGGATTTCTTCTAAGTCATAACGATAATAGAATCATGTCAGGTTCACCCACCACACTAAACCATGGCTTGTTTGACTCTACTTTTGAATAAATAGTTATAGACAGCCAATTTCTCTAGACTACAAATCATAGGA